GGTTAGCTAATTAACACGTTATACTTATCTATAATACCTATCTGACTGCGCAATGTATCGTCCGACCACGTCTGGGCTGAGACAAGCGTGAGTGAGGACGGAGATCTGCTCATCCAATGGCAATGCTTGCAACTCCACCGACAGAGCCTCCCACCGCGAGTAGTTGGGCCGACCTGCAAATGGTTCACTTGTTATAGTTTCAGACCACCAAATAAACTCAATCAGATATTAAACTGACCAAACTAAAACAGAAGCGCCCTCAAAATATACCACTGGATGTTCTGATTTTCTGCAAATGGCTGCAAAGTTATTGTGTATTTCTTTTGATGACAAAACATTTGGCAGTGTTTCGGTTTTCCGCGATTTTCTTTACGGAATATTAAATTTGAGGCTAATCGACATGTATTTTGAAAAACCATTAGCTGACAACTAAATTTACATCTATCAATACGATAATGTGAACAATATTTGGCTCACAGTGATCTACCCCGCAGCACTCGTCCTCCACAGGCACATCTGGGATCTTCCAGAACTCCAGGTCACTGCAGTTCACCTCTTCAGGGGTACAAAGGAACCTGTAATGAGTCCAATAAACCAAAATTAAACACCAATTAGGTTATCACGTGCATCTTCATCGAATGTAATCAAAATGTGCCAGGTTTCGAACCGATTTTTATATAAAGTCTTCTGAAAAAGGTCTGTAACAAAATGTTTGATCTGTTATGGTTATAAAGAGTTCTTAGATATTTTTTACATAATGATGCCGTTTATTTCATAAGCCCGACTCAACCAGTTTTTCTCGACACTGTGACAATTTTTTGAAACAACTTTAAAAGTAGTTCGAATTACGACTAAGAAGGCTTTAATTAAAAAAAACGAAAACAACATCAAAACGAAAACAACATTCAGCCTTTCAATTTTAATTTTACTGGAGTTAAACTAAAGCTTCATGGCTTATCCTTCTACAATAAGCCTACATATCACTGAAGCCATTATGATGAATATTTGTGGTGCCTGATTTGCGTGAAAAAAAAAAACTAAAACACACACGAATCCAGAGTTATTTCCCATTTTCAATGGTCGGAACAACAGCGTGAGTTTTTTTTACAGTGACTCATTCAAATGAAACATTGCCTTCGTTTGAGTCTGAGGAGACACTCCACGTGGTGTTCGTGCATCTGGATCATTTTCTGCTCCATGCTGACGATGATGGATCTGAACTCGTGCTGTGTGACCTCAATCGCCCTGCTAGCCTCTCCTTCCAGTTGCTGCAGTTGCTGTTATAAACACCTGGTTTCAATCTAAGGTGGCATGAAACTTAAAAAAACTTGATGCTTCACCGTTATGAGATCTCGAAGCTGTGGCAATCGAGAAGCACTACAAAAAAAACATTCTTTTCCACGTAAAAATTTTGAATAGCTGGGATAATAATTTCCCTAGTTGATGATCGAGTATGATCTTGTAAGAATATTGTAAGATTCCCAAAGATATCAGCTAGAATCTTGCAAGACAAGATGGTCCGTTTTCTTCAACTAATGTTTTTCATGATATCAGCTCTGATCAAAAACGACAACATGAAAATGTTACATTTTTCTTATGGTCCAGTTTGTCATACCTGTTCGTGTCTGCACTGGACCATGTCGAGTTGTGCCTGGTGCAGATCGTGGACGGACTCTGGCATGAGCTGCATGTCTCCACTGGCGATGCAGTGCCACGTGTCCAGCTGTGATTGGATGATGTGGAAGTAGTCCCCGTCCAGTTTGGCCCTGTAGGATGCCATCTCTTCCTGCAGTCGTATGGAGAAGTCGTGCTCCACCTCAACAGATAAGTCCAATAACATCAGTGATGATAATCATAATGTTTAAAATGATCATAATCATAAAAACAAAAAAATTATGATCAGAATATCAATCATAATGATAACAATAATTATTATAATAAAAACAAAGATAGCTGGTTCCAAGGCAAGTAGTACAGAATAATGCGACCAAATTCATTAATATTTTTCATCAAATTAGTTCTTTGTACGTGATGTGAAAAAAGAACTACACAAACTATATCTACAAAATTTTTAAACCGGTTTTTCTCGACACTGGGGAAGTTTTTTTTGTGCTATTCGAGATTGTTAAGATCGTTTAGAAGATTAAGTCAGCCAATCTTTCGGCCAATCAGAACGCAGCAAATTGGAAATATAGAATTCTTAATAGAAAGCTCAAGTGCTAATTTACAATTTTATTTAGCGGGGTGGAGATTCTTTAGTATTACTACGGGGGGGGGGGGGGGGTTTGTTGAGTAAGCCCTTGTAACTCACTTGGCTTTTAATTTTTGCCACCCTGTCTTCAAGAGCAGTCGTGAAGGTGCAATCAAAGTGCTTCTGCATCAAGGCTATCCTGGCCTTGAGCTGCTTACAGTAATCTCGCAGACTCACCACCATCTGCTTGTACTCCAGGATGACGTCATCCCATCTGACGTCACAGGGACTGAAGGAGAGCAGTCGGTTGAGACGACACTGGAAGTCACAGCTCTTCAGGTTCAATAAGTTGTCGCACATAATGTTGCTACAGTTCGTACAGTGCTGGTTTAAAATATCCGGACAAAACTATTGAATGTGGAATCGTTTTTCCCCTCAAACTAGGACATTAATTAGACATTAGAAAAAGGAACAAACCTTTCTTAAAAATAAAATTGTTTACAATCTTAAAATTAGCCCTAAAACTTGGTCCTTTTTGGCTCGATCTGATAAAAAATTTAAAAAGTCGAACTTATAACCCTTCATAATCGAAACAAAAACTATCAAATTGAGAATCTTCATAATCAAAGCAAACTTTAAGAAGGTTATTCGGCCTAAGTTACGATGCATGTAACTTTCTTTTAATAGCTCTGAAATCAAAAGTTTAGCATTTTATATGATGGAAGCTGCATGTTTGGCTGATATAACGAAGTATTATTTTTAAACATTATCCACATATCGTCCCTTGTTGGGCCAAACGAGCTGTATGCTTATTTGAAAAGGGGGCGTTTGTTTTGAGCTTAATATTTCGTCAAACACATTGACCCAAAAGCCACCTATATTTTGATGAAAAATTTAAGGTCAGAATTCCCCCTAAATGATTTTCTTTGTCATATCTTGTCTAATTTTGACCCATTATGAAAAAAAACGCTTGAAAAGCCTGCAATTTTTTTTGTTCTGTCCAAATAAATTAAATCAAGACTATAGTCCTCTTAAACGTTTAAAATACACTATGCTATGCACTAGATCATTCAGTACATCAATTTGACAAAAACAACTCGCTGTTTAGCTATTCGAGTTTTTGTGGCAGTTTATCTTATTTGAGAGTGCACTATTAAAGATATTTCCCAAAGTAAAATGTTCAATAATACACGCTAGCCATATTCTGATATCTCGTGCACTTTAATCCTGTCACTGCGTTAATTTTCTGTCAAAGTACCTTCAAAACATTTATAATTTTTTCGATGACATGATCCGTAAATTACGGTCAACTAAAAATTCAAAAACAGTCGAGTAGAAAGAAAACTACCAAATGTAAAACTAATCCGCTAAAACTAAACTGCTTCTATCAAGTCAAAGCCCTGAATGTTTTGGTTGTCTTTAAGTCTGACTGAATTAATTTTCGGATTAAAATAGATGTAAAATTAGAACTTGAAAAAATATTTTTTTTCCAAATCGTCTACGCACATCAATTAAAAAACACAAATGTTTATATTTTGCACCTACTGACACTTGTTTCGGCTCATTTAGCTGGCCTAAACTTAATTTGAAGTCCAAATAAAGAGCCCACTTTGACGTCATATGAAGACCATTCATAGTTCATCACAACAAAACGGCGTGTATCACGTCAAAGCATAGCATGTTTGACTGTGGTTTAGGGTTTTTGAAGTAATTGCAATAGAATTTTCAAAAATTAAAAAATTTTCTCGCTTTTAAATGTCAGAAGCAGCCTACATAAAGAAGAAAGTTATATATTTCGAATTTAATAACAATCTAGCTGCATCAAGTAGCTAGCCAATAACTGGGTTGAAATCAGGCAGAAAAAATTTGATGAAAATTTCTTTAAAAAAATTGGTTTTTCAAAATTATCCCATATGAAAAAATAAAGCCCGAAAATTCCAGACCAAAAAGCCCGAAAATAAAATACATGATACATTTTCAAACTACTAGCACGTTATTTTGGCCGATTAGGAAGCCTAAATCAAATTGAAGTGGTTTCCGCTCGAAGAATTCGGGACCCGTCTATAGGGTTTTGGAAATTTCGGGAGTACTTTTCCCAAATTGGCTTTTTTTAAACCAATTAAATTTCCGAGAAAAAGCGCTGAATTACAGACATCGTTATGCGTCTATAGTTAGACATTTTGGGCGTGCTTTTCCCGAATTGGAAATTTTTAAACCCCATTGAATTACAGACAGAGGCGAAGCGGAAATTCTCATTTCTTGAGATACTAAGCAGGGGCGGTAGGATTTTCTCGAATGGGGAGGGGGGGTTGGATTTTCAAAAAATTTTTGAAATCTGTCACTTTTATAGGTCGACCAAATTTGAGGCAATTTTTGTAAAATTTTGACCAAAAAAAGCATTTTTTTGGCGCGCGCTCCCCCCTCAAAATTATTATATATTGGCGCTGAAGACGCGTTTAGAAAAATTTAGGGTCCGTCACACAAAATCGGTATATATCCGCCCCTGATATTAAGTAACCGTAGCCTTGCAAGCTAGCAAAAGCAAATGGAGGCCGAAATCACAGTCGAAAACAATTTACGTGAAAAACAATATTAAGGAATTTGGTTTTGGAAAAGGAAAATTCAATTACAGAGAAACATGACCGCCAGACTTAAATCAACTTAAGTAACAATTAAGGAGCGGCCACTTAAATGCTTGTATTTGGGTTGAACTTTGTCCCGAAACCAAAAATGTTTCAAGGTTATGTTATGAAAATGTTATACACCTAGGAAAAAATTTCGTTCACCTGGTTCGGACTTGAAAACATTCTTTGAAAATGGTTTTTTATCTTAAAAATTGATGGATTCAATCAATGGTGAACTTAGTTAAAACAACAATTTACATCGAGATTCAGATGCAATAAAATAAATAAGTTCAGAGCCTGTTTATTGGAACTTTATTAATCCGGATTATCAAGTTCTTTTATCGCTTTCATCAAGATGCAGCTGCCGCGGCTGAAGGTGTTGTAACAGCAGTCATCAATTGGCCCATTGCCTTTTCAGCTGTCCTCATCAGTTTGTGCAGCTTTGAGGGATATGCACCGTCATTCAGATCCTGAAGTTTGAAAGTGTAGAATGTCTTTTCGGGGTCGATCAAGGTGACTGCCTGCATCACGGGACAGAAAATCAACTTGGAGTGACATTCGAAGAAATTCATTTGCACCGAACCATTGCTGAGTAAAAATACTATGGCGGTTTGGTGTCTGAACCACTTGTGCAGAAATGGCAGCCTCGAAAAAACATCTGCCTCTGGCACCTTCATTTGCTGGCCGGTCTGCACTAAGTTCTCATTCATGTAGGTCTTGAAGTACTTCAGTAATGTAATCTTTTTGACACACTGTTGTGGATACACATCAATTGTGTAAAAATTTTCCACATTAGTGTTGTCTATGTATTGCACTGTGTCGCCGTCGGCATACAGAACTATTCGGCTGGAATCATTGAACAGAACACCTGATGATCCATCGCAGAGCTGGTAGCTCAGTCCGTATTTATCCGAATAGTCAACCCATTTGCTCACCCAATAAAAGGGTGCCATTTCAGGCGACGTGAGTTCCATTGAGATCGTTGAAGGGGCGGCTTGTTTGAATTTGTAATTATGTTCGATATTTCTCAATGCCATCAGCAGAAATTGCACTTGATTGCGGTAATCTACACCTTCTGAATAGACTACTGTCGAGGGCTTTTTGCCACCCTCTCTGACCCCTGAACCCGCAGTCAGTTGTCCTCTCAACTCCATGAGAGCAGGCCTGTTAGTGTTTGTCGGCTGTTGACAAGGATGTATGGTGCTGCGCCTGTCAAATCGAGGAGTCATGGTAAGACATGACGTTGGCAAATGTTTCGGCAACAATCCGGAAGTAAAAAATGAGTCATTGAGGACATCTTTAGCCATCGGTCGCGATTCTGCATTTGGAGATAACAACCTTCTGATTAATCGAGCGGCATGTGCGTTCATTCCAGTTGGAATTGTGTACTGGTTGCTTTTGATTCGCGAGTAAGTTTCCTTCAGAGTTTGGGTTTCGAAAGGTGGCTTGCCAACTAACAAGGTGAAAAGAATACATCCGACAGCCCAGACGTCGACCTAATACAGAATGCAGACATCTTAGGCAAAAGTAAAAATATGCGTTTATTGTTCAAAGATCTGCCTTTAAAATCATCCGACCAAGGTGAAACTTAACGCTTATTTAGCTTCATACAAATCACGTTTCAAAGAAAATTTAATTCTTCGACGCCTCAAATGTTTCCCGTTAGTCAGCATAGGTACTCACTAAGCATCGGTTATCTCCCAATTTACTTCCGATCAGGGGCGGATCTAGGATTTTCTCGAGGGGGGGGGGGGGCGGATTTTTCAAAAATTTTGACGACCTTTTTTTTTTTTTTAGGTCGATCAGATTGATTTTCCGAGCTCTCCCAAAGCAGTAAAAAGACCCTGTTTTGGCCAAATTTTCTGCGCCGCAGGCAATTTTCTGAAAAAACAGGTCAAAAAAGCCGTTTTTGGGCACTTTTTAGAAAATTTTGACAAAAAAAATGCATTTTTTTGGCGCGCACTCCCCCTCAAAACTAGTATATATTGGCGCCGAAGGCGCCTTTAGAAAAATTTTAGGGTCGGTCGGCCAAAAATGGATTTCTTAAAAAGTACCAAAGGGGGGACCCTTTGGGTTGGCAGGGGTTCGAATCCCTGAGGGGGGGGGGCGTCCGCCCCCCCCCCCCCTAAATCCGCCCCTGCTTCCGATCACTAGCGATTCTATCAAATAATGGTTCAGCGGATGTAACAATAATACCAAAGCTTCAGTCCAGCTTTTTGCTTTGTATTTTTAAGTATATGGCTCGCAAAAAAAGTTAATAACTATTCAACTGGCGCTTCAATCAGGTTACACGAAAATTTTCAGACAGAGTCGAAGCTGTTCTTTAAACCAAGCGAGAAAACAAGAAGCTCTAAAAGGTGAAATAAGATAAAGTAGAACACTAAGGTGAAGCGAGGCTTCGCAACACGCAAAAACACTTGCGATACACAAAAAAAAACAGCGTTAAAAACCTTCTGAAAAATTTCAAAAATTCTGAAAAATCGAGTTGAAAAAATTACTTAAAAATTGGTTTGAGTCGAAAAAATTACACTCAGTATCGGATTGGGAGGGGGGGGGGGGGGGGGGCTCATTCACCTCAGAGATTTGACCCCCTGCCGACCCAAAGGGTCCTTCTTTGTACTATTTTGTTTTGAATGACTTACCTAAAAATTTATCAAGGCGCCTTTGACGCCAATATTTACTAATTTTGAGTGTAAAGCGCGCGCCGAAAAAACGCTTTAGGTCGAAAATTTCCAAAAAAAAGAATAACGCCTTTTTGGCATGTTTTTTTTAAATGTGCCTGCGACGCTGAAAATTTGGTCAATATAGGGTCTTTATAGTGATTTGGGAGAGCTCAGAAAATCAATTTAGGCGACCAAAAACAGGCCGACAAAAATTTATTGGAAAATCCCCCGCCCCGCGAGAAATTCCTAGATTCGCGCCTGACTATACCAACAAAACATGTTTCTATCGGATGATGCTCACTAAGTATAAAAAACAAAACCCTCAACCCAGCGGCTACAAATTTTGGAACGAACCCCGTTGAGTCAAAAACAAGTTTCTATCCGAATCAGTCAATGTTCCGAATTTATATCTGTTGCTAATTGCTAGCACAATTTTCGATTCGATACGTAATAATTCTCTGCACATTAATGTACATACAGAATAAAAAGAAAACAAGACTGCTCGTATCAGGGTGAAGCCCTGAATGTTCCGACTGCCTTTTAAGGTCTATAGAGCAGTAATAAGATGAAAAAATGAAATGAAAATTTTTTAAAATTTTTAATTTGAGATTTTTTGTAAAAGCATCACCCCACACGTCATATTAAGTACAAAGTGATAAATGTTGCTCCTATTGACATATGAAATATGGCATATGAGCTTCTCAAACCAATTTGGAACGATTTTTATGATGGATTAAATCTCCACTTACACGTTAATAGCGCGAAATACATCGCGCGTTTATTGTCCCAAACTGGCCGAAATGGCAATTTTTAAATTCCCATAACTTCACAAAAAAGATCACAGGGGAAATATTTTTCCAAATTTAAGCTCAGGACATATATACTTTTTGAATGATATCTAAAAATTCCCGTCAAAAATGGCTGGTTAAAAAGTCGAAATTTGTCTGAAGAAAAAACCCACCCCGAGCACAAATATTCAGTTAAAGTCGGAACAACCTACTTAATAGCTGGTTATTGATCAAAATGAACTTTTTCAAAATGAACACATTTTATCGCAACAATCTTTTTGTCGCAACAATATTTGCGACTTGGGTTTGAAAAAAAAGATAGTTCATACTATAACACAAGCATTGCTTGTGTAATTACAAACTGCTCAAATAAAAAACTATACTTTGGAAAGTAAGCATTTCAAAAGCGTGCCAGATAATACATATGCAATGGAAATTGAGCCGACGGAAGTTAGGACGAAAACCATGAATCCAAACAAAATATTTGAAAAAATAGGCATTAAAAACAAATCAGATAAAAACAGAAGTGTATTAAGAGTCTCAATGCATTTAGAAAACGCAATAAAGGTTGACAAAACCGATATAACAGAAACGCAAATATCTGTTGAAAAAAAAAACTAAAACAATCGAAATTATGGTCCAATCGAGGGGGGATGCAAAATATAACATTCGCGAACATTAAAATTAATCGGGAAAATCCAAATTAACCCAATAATCCAAAACCCGTTAGGTTTATGGAGCAGCAGTAATAACATTTAAAAAATTAATTGAAATTAAAAAAAATGATCACAGGGGAAATATTTTTCCAAATTTAAGCTCAGGACATATATATATATACATATGCAATGGAAATTGAGCCGACGTATGAACTAAAAAATTCCGTCAAAAATGGCTAGTTAAAAAGTCTAAAATTTGAAATTTTTTATGAAAATCATCACCCCACACGCCATATAAAGTACAAAAACATAGATTTCGTTCCTTGTAACAAATCAATTATGACAAATAAGCTTCGTTCAACCAATTTGTAACGATTTATAAGACGGATTAAACCTCCGCTTACGCGTTAATACCGCGAATTATATCGCGCGTTAATTGTCCCAAATTGGTCAAAATGGCAATCTTTAAACCCTCATAACTTTACGAAAAATGATTACAGGTGAAATATCTTTTCAAATTTAAGCTCAGGACAATAATACCTTTTGAATGATATAAAAAAAATTCCGTCAAAAATGGCTAGTTAAAAAGTCGAAATTTGTCTGAAAAAAAAACCCACCCCGAGCACAAATATTCCGTTACTTTCGTATCGAAAGTCGGAACAACTAGCGCATGACTCATACCTACGGTCCTGGAAATACACAAGAAGATTCGAGCTTTTTATATCTAAAATGCCTGTTTTCAAGAATGATTTCGCATATTGACTGCGAATTCAATCAAAACTTTTGCATAGACAAAGAGCAAATTATCAGAGCTACCCATTATGAGACTTTTATATCTTGGTTTCAAGGACTTACCGGTTGTTTCCAAGTTTGATAAACTGGGCTATCTATTTTTTATCGAATTTTTAAATTGAATAAGGACCCTGAAAAAGCCGAGAGCATATCTTGGCTGTTGGAAGGTTTTGATCAGTCACATTTGTAAGGCAGATTTGTGTGTTTGAGTTTTCTACGCAAAATCATTTACCACAAATAAACATCGGAGAGAGTTGAGTGGTATATCATAGTAAAACCCTTTCAATCGTGATTTTTTTAAAAACGTCGTTTTGTATTTATTTCTTGAAAACAAATTATGTCGATCATGCCTAACTCTCTACGCGATCGTCTAGCTCTCGAATCACACCACCCAAGTTTTTTTTTTTGAAGTTGAAAAAATCATGAGTAACGCAATATCTGGGAAACAGATAAGTTTTGCGCAGTAAAATTAGAGGCCAGATTGGTTATCTTACAGTACGACTAAATATACCCGGATAGCAATCCACCATATACCTGAGAATTTCAAGATCAGTTAGTTTTTTTATATCTAAGTTTTTGACGAAAAAAAACTACAACCGCTTAATCTCGAAAACCAAAATGATTTGAGCTGTCAAATTCAACGAGACGCCAGATTGCAACCCCTGTATGTACCCTGACAGCAACCCTCTGTAGGGTTGAGAATTTCAAATTGGGTTAGCTTTTTATTCTGTATCTACAGTATTTGAACAAATAATAAAAAGATCAAAAATTCAAGGAAATAGATGGCCTTAAAACTCTTTGAATTTCAAAAACAATTTAACATTGACATTAAGCTTTCCATACAAAGCGGACCATCTTTTTAGCAGAACCTTTCATTAGAAAACTTGACAAGATTTCAAATTGAAGATTTGATTAACGAAAACAAATTTGATTGACACATGCATTGACGCAGTTTAGTCTCCGTATAGAGAATTGTTTCGCGTTTTTTTCCAGCTTTTTCAGGATTGATTCAACAGCTTCCCTTTTCGAATCTCCCTTAATTTCGACTTATTTTAAATCAATTATTGTACTGTAGTCTGGTAAAAGCTCGTTCTGGTAAAATAGCCCACCATACAAATTTCCAACATTGAGAGAGCTGGATTAATTTTAAGTTTTTTTATTCCAAACAACCAATATAAATGTCTTCATTACGTTCATTCACAGCCAAGACTATTACAAATTGTTGGTTATGATGCATTTTTGAAAAAATATATTTCCTACAAAGGAGCAGCGGAGCTTCATACCATTTGCGATAAACACATAAAACAAAACAAATAAAAAGTCGAAAATTGGATGTTGAAAAAAATAGGTGAAAAAGAAATTGGGTTTTGAAAAAACTAGGTTCGTATGTCTCGATAAAAAACAAAGCTGAAGGAACGTAATGATATTGCATGAATTTGCTTTACTGATCAGGCGCGAAAAGTGTGATTTCAAAAATTGAAGAGTAAGAAACTTCGAAATAATCAATGTTCAAGAAGATAATATTTATATTATATTAAAAACATGAGAATCTCCAAAAAACAGTCGAAGTTTCAAAATTTTGACCTGTGTTAAGGCCATTTTTTTCTTGAACAAACTGGGCATTTTATCCGATTATTAAGTTAGGTTTTAATTAACCTCTTCAACTATCAAACTTGTAATATCAAATTTGGCAGGATAGTTAGCTAAAAAGTCCAATAAAACTGTCAGCAATTCAAAAATTTGATGTTTCCGAGAATAAAAGTTTTTGTGTGAAAAAATTATGCGAGCCGTATCAGAAGTGATTCAAGCAACCTGTAAGTTCGATTGCACCCAAAATCTCAGATTTGGGAGGGTGGTTTTTGAAAAAACTCAAAAAAGTTTACAGAAACGGTCAAATCAAACATTTAATTTTTACTCGGGCAATAAATGCATGAGTAAAAATTATGCGACGTAGAGGAGCTTCCCACTGCCCGCTTTCTCCAACGAGCCCACAAAATCAGAGATTAGTTTGCGAGAAGTCGCAAACGTTCACAAAACGGTCAAAACCCTGAATTTCGGATGAATTTCAATTGAACAAAAAATGCATAGATACCAAAGAACATTTCAAAAATGCACATCTGTAGTTGTTACAACATGTTAATACTTTTGCCTAAAAAAACGAAAAAAATCACCAATAACTATATAAGAGTCTTTACTACGTTCATTACTCTTTAAAACAATAAAATTTCAAATTGTAGGCTTCAATCAAACACTAAGAGCCACATTAAAGAAAACTGCGCAAAGCAAAAAAAAACGATTCCAAGATTTGAAAACTAAACCGACAACAGATTAGCAGAAAAATAATTGGCCGTCAGTTTGGTACCACTATGATAGAGTGATCCCTTGAAAATAACCAGGTCACTCGAGAATTAGACAGAGCTCTCAAATCCTTTCATAATTATGATTTCGCCATTCAAAGATGTCGCATTGAATTTTTATGCAAATTTTATATTTTGCTACTTTTCAAAACCTCCCCCCTCAACCATTTTAAGAGTGAAAATTATTTTAAAAAACGACAATAGTAGGTTTTGATGACATAAGGTAACCCAATTATGGTTATTAAACCGTAAAATAAAGTGAAGAGAGTAACTTTCAGTATAAAAAAACATGTAGTAATTACACTTTTCAATCTGAAAAGTCTTTAACATCTTTCGCGAATTTTTCGAAGCGAATAACTTACACACAAATTAGTTTCAAAATTATAACATGCGAAATGCATGCGGGACCTGTCTATCATGGTTGCTTTTTCGAGGGACCAATATCATAGTAGTACCGTCATTTTATTTGAATGATTACCGTTCGAAAAAACAACAGTGCCAAGCTAAGTTGCCTGCAAGCTAAGCTGCCCGCGAACGCTAAAAAATTTGAATACATGAAAAGTAGAGATGAGTCCAGACGAGTCCTGAGAAAAAGTCTAGCACCCGATTGCAAAGTCTGGCACCCGGTTATCGCAATGGTAATGATGCATTTTTAAAATCACACAGTACAGGTCGAAGTTTAATACGTAAATTCCAGAACGTAACCATCATTATCTTTGTTGGCAGGTAGGGTGGAGACTCGGCTAAATTAGTCTTTGACCAATTAAAAAGATTTTCATTCTCGGACCAATAAATACGCATCGCACCAACTATAAATTTCGGCTATTTGTGAACAATTTTTTTTCGGCTATCCGAGAATGCGGCTCCGAGACACGCAACCGTTAGGAAAAAAAAAGAAAAATTTTCACCAACCTCAAAGGCATGCCCTTTCTTTAGCAAGACTTCAGGTGCGATGTAGTTAGGAGTTCCACATATCGTCTGTTTTCTCTCATTGGGCTTCACTTCTGTAGCCAATCCGAAATCACCAATTTTAACAATAAGATTCTCATCGAGAAACAAATTGCCCAGTTTAAGATCTCTATGAACAATTCTGCGATCATGCAAATGAACCAAGCCCTCCAAGATTTGACGAACAAAAAAACGTGCTTCCGGTTCGCTAACTGCTTTTCTTCGCTTATGCAGTTCCATCATAGACTTTGACTTACAATGTTCGAGAACAATGTACACGAAATGCTCATCTTCGAACACATTCACAAACTTCACTATGTTTTTGTGAAAATCCAAACTCTTGTGAAGGCTGATTTCCAGTTTCAGTTTCTCTTTCTGTTGCTCTTTCGCCATCAGTTTCCGCGACATAATTTTTCCAGCATAGATCGTTTTGTCTCCATTCAGAGGAATTAATTCATAAACTTTTGCAAATCCTCCCTTTCCCAAAAACTTTCCTCGCTCGTATTCCAGACGAACACCTTCTTTTGATCTCCCTTTTATCAGCGTGGGAATCGGGGTTTCGTCTTTCTGCGACATAATTTCTGAATAACTTCCTCCTTTCTTTGCGGCTGGAGGATGACCAGTTATGACGATTAAAAACTATTACAACTTAAAATTTGATAAAATACGGTGATCTACTGAGCAAACCTTCTTCAGCTTCAATGATTTTCTGGCCATCTTTGTTCTTTAACATGGCAAACTTCAAAATTTAAAAAAATGATGTCGCACGTTTTCAAAACGAGAAAGCGAATTTTTATCTTGCTGTTTTCCCACCAATCAAAAATTGAAGATTGCTGTGAATAAAACCACGAGTAAAACCAAGTCATGAATCAACAACAATTGACGAAATCTCAGCTACCAATTACTCATGAAGTGCTGATTGAAACGGAATGCGCTAACAGCAAACAAATCGACGGCAGAAAAAAAACAAATCCAAATAATCAAAATCATCCCCCCATTCTCGAGAGAAATTGTAAAGTCAGCAGAAAACCTGGCGCAGGCATATCGAAGTTGTGCTTCCGATATACTGAAACAATTCCCTACAACAATGCAACAGAAGATGACAATCGCAAAAACAATAACTGTGACAAAAGATGACCGCAAACTTCATACACTGACAGTGATTGCTCCCCCCGAAGCAGAGCGGTTCATAACTAGCATCAAAAGCGAAGGAATCATTCTACTTAACAGGACTGTATTTCCCATGGGATGCTTTCCAAGGTCTCATAAACCCAAAAACATTTACCCTAAATTAGCCAAAATCAAATTGTCGAATTTGCCTGATGTATGCAACCATATCGAAGCGAAATTAATTCTTCAATTGCCAGAAGACATAATTCATAGCCCCATATTCCAACGTGAGACCTGTATCGTTACTGAACCAGGTCAGTATGTTTACACAGAAAAGGCAATTTGAGAAGTTAAAATACAAAACGATGAACAAGAGAAAAAGCTGACGGACTGGTCTTACAAATCGAGAATGGATGGCTTTAAAATGTGGTAAGGTGTTGAAATCTCGTTTCACATACCTTCACTACATGAATGTCAAAAATGCAAGATGTCTGGACGCCAAGAAAAAGGTCATCACGATGATTGGTGCAACATAGGAAACCAAAAAATCAATAATCCAAATAATCAGTACCCACAAAAACCAAGCTCCAATAATGCCAGCGACGAGAAAAACGATGACGAAACAACAAGCGACAAGTTTTGTAATGGTAGCAAAAATGTCGAAGGAAAGTATGTCGAAACAGCACCATCTAGATTTTTGGATAATGAATCTAAAACAAACAGTGCAGCAACTCAAAGCGAAGAAAAGCAAAAGGACGAGGTTCTCAACAATCAGGTCGCATATTCTAGAATATTCTAGCCCTCACCGTTTGGCTAAACGGAAAGGTTGGTGGTTCAAGCCCACCCAGGAGCGCCATAAAAACATACATGTAACATTCGCCCGGAAGATACATATCGACGGATAACAAAACTAAGTCTTAAGACGACTGGCTAGCGTCTAAACAGAGCTTTGCATGTTTTTCACCGTCTCTACCAAGCGAGTACTTTTCGGTGGTCTTTTCTAACATCGGGTCGACAAAAACGTTACTGTTCTCCGGCTTTGACCAGAACGCTCAAATTAACTGAATTACATGCAAAAATAGTGAGCTCATGGCTGGGTCTCAGTATCCCCAGAGCACGAGGTCACTCCTAAAAACAGGGCTACTACTTATTATATTACTATTGTTTTCGCTCAGTAGATAAAAATCATCATCTCCATCGAAGATGGATCAACCCTTTCCCCCCAACTCTTAGCACCTCATCCTTGTCAAAACTAATCCAAATATCAATTAAATTCAAGTCAGGACATGACAGGATGCTAAAAGTTCATATGAGTCAATAAAAGTTTTCCGTCCCGAGACCCTTCCGGATTCTTGAATCCGGTGAATCAAGCCCGTTGATCTCGATTTCTTCCCAATCCGGAAGGCTGGTTTCTTACCCTTCACCGTTGTTTGCAACGGCCTTGCAACTATTGTAGCAGCACAATAGTTGCAGCTCGGAACGTTCTCTGCAATCTGCTGCTGTTTTTCAATCACGATTATCGTTGTTCTCGTCAGCGTAACTAATGTTGTTGTGTTTTCTCTCTCGTTTTTTGTTAAAATGGCCGTTTCAGCATTTCTCAGAAATGTGTCGTCATCATTCGAATTTTTGAAATTTTAAAATACTAGAATATTCTAGCCCTCACCGTTTGGCTAAACGTTCCAATAACGCTTTTAGTTCTTAAAAACCACCAATCCGGAAGGCTTACTGCTAAAATTCCGAATTCTGCAGAGATTGCATTTTTCACATTCTGGTCGAATGTCACGTTCATTCTTACTCTGCAAAAGAAAAAAAACAATTTAAATATCGAAAATAACAAACGGAAATGTTCCTCTGACGGAAGAATGCTTACAAAAAGAGAGCGTGAAATTTCACCAACTTCTTGGTCAGTTTTAAAACCGTGGTTTCGAGCGACACTGACATCTTGGTTATATGCGGTGACGAAGGATCATATGAAGAAACATCAGAAAGAATATCGGCAATTTTTGGCGGAGATAGGACCGAAGCCTTCAAGAGACCTTTGCTGACCCACCAAAATGCGATTACGACGGGTTGGAAGAGAGTTGGTAGGGTGTCTCGAGATAATACCAAGGTGAGAGAATCAATATTGGAAGAGGACTTAGCGAAGAATGTGAGCCTGAGTCTTCACAACTCCTTTTGCATGAACAGGGAATCGAAAGTGAAGGGTTTGCCAAACCAGGCAAAGAGGTTTCGAGAGCAGAGGGAGTGGATGCGATCATACGAGCAACTTAAGGCGTGGGAAGAGATCGTGATTAGCTCCGATGATGAGGAAGCGCTGCTAAGACAGATCACGGTGTCAAACGCATCAGGGCCTAGCACCTCAAAGGCAAGGAACAAGAAATGAGCAGGGAGCTCAGTGAGGGATTCTTGAGTCTTGAGAAGGAAAAAGGGGGCTCGAGTGTGAACTATGATGAAATCCGAGGTCACGGAAAAGAATTTTTAACGAAACGAAATATTATTATTAATATGCTATATTTATTATATAAGTCAAAATGCTGCATGACACAATTTTCTGATTGGATAAGACAAAAGAAATTTTAATCATTATATTGCCAAGCGGAAATTTAAGATACAGATGTATGCAGGTTTTGATTGCTGTTTAGCGATAGTGTGACAGTTTCGCATAGTTGTGAATTTTGGGGTATAGATAAAGTTGAATCTGCTGCAAACTTCTGTAAATGACCACTGGCACTGTATCTTGAGCAACACTTAACATTCTGGTGATTCACTGGCAGACGGCAGCACGCGATGAGGACATCGATCTTGAGTCCGGGGAGTATGTGCCAGCCGGTCATATTTGGAATATTGACCTTGAGCAATACGAACAATGTAATTTTGGGGTGAAATGGAATTTTTCAAAAATTCGAATTGAGCCTGTCGTGCTCATCTTTCTCGCGACAACTGAAAGCCTCAGAAATACAAGATCAGAACAATCGAGTTACAATCGCGGGAAGGTAATCAAAAAAAGCAGCGGGAAATTGCTATTCGCAATTTCCAGACATAAAAATCACACTAGAGTAGAGCTGTCTTATCCTGAAATAGGAGACAAAACAATTGCGAAAGAGGAAGACAATAATTCGAAGTGGACCAGAGTGAACCTTCGGTGGAAAGGTGGACAACCGAAGTCTCCCAATGGTCCAGCCCCAAAACTTATTCCTCAAGTCAAAACTCATTTGCTTGCTGGAATTCATTAATTACAAATTTCTTGAGTTAAAACTTAATTACCTTAATGCTAGAGTTGCTGATTAATTTAGTTACTCCAATTCTCGAGTGTGCTGGTATGTGAGTACCCAATTTAGTTTTCTTGAGTGTGTTTTATACTTGTTATGTTGAGGTAGGGAGAGTTTTAGGTTGATTCATCTGAAATGGATCAAAACTCCACTGTCGAATAAAAAGCAACTAAAACGGAATGTTCCGACCCTGTTTTTAACGGCGTTCGCGTATTTTGGGTATTTTGAGACCTAAGTATGGGGACGTTCTTATTTTCTAGAGTGGGAGGGGGTATTTTGGTAGTGGCCTTTAAGCTGTAACAAGGTTTTTAGTCTCATGTCGCAAGTGAACCGACTTGGCTCCGACCATTCGAGGTAGAAAAACACAAGAGATAGTGTCCCTGACTCTTAAGCCAATGGTTATAGGGCCTATTTTTCTTTAACCTCATATGTGAATTAAGTAGGCGACTGTTACATAGTGTTTTTACGACATCATGACTACGAAGTCGAACCCACTTGACACAGTTCCGGGCTACATGCCCAGTCTAGTGTACCGGTGGTACGGTTCAGCGGGAACGTGTAAACCTTCCGGTCGTACCCTGATAGCTTTTTAAGAAAACTCGAGAAAACTTCCTGGTACGCTCTCCGAACGAAGCCTAGCTAACCGAGTAAGGGGGGGGGGGTAACTAGGGGGACAAAAAAAACGAGCAAAAAGACAAAAAGCGAAACAAAAACCGAAAAAGAATAGAAAAAGGAACAAAAACCATAAAGCAGAAAAGGACAGTGACTTTGACACCAGATTAGTTGGATCAAACCTTTATATTAATTAAATAGTATACACATACTGTTTTCATCGGACCAATCGTTTCGATCATTTCAGCAATTTAAAAAGGTGCCCGAGTGTGGGGCGTTGTTAAAGGGTTTTCAGATAGCTTGCAACTTAGCTGGACCACTAGGAGACTTGACTGGAAAAGTTGACCAGCCAAGTAGGAAAATGGTTCACAGGAAGGGAACCCGACAAGTGCTGGACACGACAAGGAGACATCCAGCACCGACGGGACCGAACAGAGAAGGCACACAGGGGTGTTTTTTTGGTCGATCGACGGACCACTAGGAGACTGGAGTGGAACAGGTGACCAACCAAGTGGGAAAGTGGTGCTGGTTAGAAGTGCTGGACAAGACAAGGAGACAACCAGCACGGAATCAAAACAACCAGAGGAGGACACACGAGCGTGTTCTGGTTGGTCAATCGGGTATCGTTAGAATCCACATTACCATATAGGAGATAAGTGTAAAATTGTATAAGCGGAAGCCCACTGTTTTGAGGAACGTTTTTACTTGAGCAGAGCTTGGAAACAGGTT